CGGTCCCTGCCGTGGCGACGCGAAGCCGGGTCAGCCGGGGAAGCCAGGCCTGGATACTGCTGGGCGGGGTGGGGGGGATGGGCCGCGGGCTTCCGGGCGGCCTTTGGCCCCAGAGGGGCCCGGGGCCCGGAGCGCGGCCGCAGCGGAGAGCGCGCTGGGGGCCTCGGTGCGGAGAACAGGATCGCCAGCGGCGGCGTGCTTCCTGGGTGGGGGACCCGGTCGTCTCTTCGCTGAGTGGCCGCTGGGGTCACGCTGCCAGGCTTGAGGCCGGCACGCGCGGCTTTGTTGGCGGGGGAGGGGCGGGCCGCCTGGTGGCGGTGAGGACGCGCGGATGACCGCGCTCCGGAGGCCGGAGCCTCACGCCGGTTTCCTTTCCCCTCCCAGCAGGTGAGGCTGGCCTCTCGGCACTCAGAGGTCTGAGCTCTGCCATGGGGGTAGGGGTGTCTTTATTGCTGCAGTTTTCCCTGACATCTGGGGGCTACCGGAGCGGGGGCCGAGGCAGGCGCTACAGCCACGGAAGTATCCCCGGGAGCGTCCCCAGGCGGCGCTGGACCAGGCAGCATCCCCAGCCCCACAATCTCCAGGGTAGAGTCTGGCTTTTGTTGTGCCCCCGGCCATTCCACTGCCCAGAGCTGAGGCCTCCCCGGCCTAGTGGGGGCGAGGGTGCCCTTGGGGAGCGGTGACCAATCACTGATGAGATCGCTGTGTGCAGCCTTGGGAAGGAGTCCTACCCAGAGACAGGATCTAGGAAACCCAGGAGGGTATGTCTGCTGCTGGAGGGGAGGCAGTGACAAGCTCTTAGGCGTCTCACAGCCGCCCTCACCCCTCGTGTACGTGTAGGAGTCTCCCCTGTACCACCTAGGGTTTCCTGATCCCTGGAAGAGCTGTCTGTGGGGCAGCCTCTGGCGTGATTGAGGCAGGACCAGGCAGAGAACAGATTATAATCTTTTTGCCTGCTTTTCTCTTGCCACAGTACTTCCCAACACCCTAAGGTAGGCAGGGCCAGGGATGGGGCCTTCAGGGTTACAGGATGTGGGTGTTCTTTGGATTCTGGAAATCTTTCCTTCCTAGGATGTCCTAATCATGTATGTGGGTGGCGGAGGACAGGCAGGAAGAAGGTGGGCACAGTCTGGTCAGGTGGTTGCCTGGCAGGAAGCTGCTGGCAGCATCCAGAGCCCCGCTCGTGCTCCTGGGAAGGGCTCTCCTCGCTCTGCAGGCTTCTTGGTGGCACTGGAGCCTGGAGGAGGGTCCTGGGAAGGTAAAGGCCATAGTGGTTCCTTTCTGTGAGATCTTTATAAACCGGGAGCCTAGAGGAAGCAAGCCTGGGCTGGAATGCAGAAAACCTGTTCCGTAGTTTCCGTTCTGCTCTTGGTTGCCTGATCAGCTTTTTGCTTCACCTGTCGAACAGGGAGCTGACATCTCTTCCAGTTGCTATGGCGCTCAGACGCAGCCTTAGGAAGTGGTGGAAGCTAAGAAAGGCCAGAGGGTAGCACTTTGGGGAAGCAGAAAGTCGTAGGTAGACAGGGCTGCCTCTTCTGATGAGCTCTGGGCGATAACTGCATGCCAGACCCTGGTGGGTGTGGTGAGGGCTTCCAGGAAGTGGCAGTAGTTCCAGGCTCCACAAGGAGATAGACAGGTATACTGCAAACGCTACCTGGAAGCTCAGAATCTGTGTGAAATGGAAGATGAGACTAGCCCAGGGCCATAGGAGTCAGGTGTGGGCACAGTCCTCCCTGAGCTGGGGCTGGCAGAAGGTGTGGGACTGGGAGGTGTGGGACTGGGTGTGGTGGTCTCTTGAGTGATTCTGCTTTTCTGCCCTCAGCAGGCGAAGCCCTGATGCTGGAACGGCGCTGCAGGGGCCCCTTGGCCATGGGCCCAGCCCACCCCCGACTCCTTTCTGGGCCCTCTCAGGAGTCACCGCAGACCCTGGAGGAGGAACCCCATGGGCTGAGGTCACTGGGCACTTCAGGTGCCACATTGGGTGGCCGAGCCCCAGCTGGAGCCCATCGCTGTGCCCACTGTAAACGGCACTTCCCAGGGTGGGTGGCCTTGTGGCTGCATGCCAGGCGGTGCCAGGCCAGGCTGCCCCTGCCCTGCCCTGAGTGTGGGCGCCGTTTCCGCCACGCCCCCTTCTTGGCACTGCACCATCAGGTCCATGCTGCAGCCACTCCAGACCTGGGCTTTGCCTGCCACACCTGTGGGCAGGGCTTCCGAGGCTGGGTGGCCCTGGTTCTGCACCTGCGAGCCCATGCAGCTGCAAAGCGGCCCATTGCTTGTCCTGAATGCGAGAGACGCTTCTGGCGACGAAAACAACTCCAGGCTCACCTGCGACGGTGCCACCCCCGCCCCCCTGAGGCCCGGCCCTTCATATGTGGCAACTGTGGCCGAAGCTTTGCCCAGTGGGACCAGCTCGTTGCTCACAAGCGGGTTCACGTGGCTGAGGCCCTTGAGGAGGCAGCGGCCAAGGCCCTTGGTCCTCGGCCCAGGGGCCGCCCTGCGGTGGCTGCCCCCCGGCCCGGTGGAGATGCTGTCGACCGGCCCTTCCAGTGTGCCTGCTGTGGCAAGCGCTTCCGGCACAAGCCCAACTTGATCGCACACCGTCGTGTGCACACGGGCGAGCGGCCCCACCAGTGTCCTGAGTGTGGGAAGCGCTTCACCAACAAGCCCTACCTGACCTCTCACCGGCGCATCCACACTGGTGAGAAGCCCTATCCGTGCACAGAGTGTGGACGCCGCTTCCGACACAAACCCAACCTCCTTTCGCACAGCAAGATTCACAAGCGATCTGAGGGGCCTGCCCAGGGCACCCCTGGCTCAGGGAGCCCCCAGCTGCCCACTGGCCCGCCAGAGTCCTTGTCAGAGCCCACCACAGAGGCACCCCCAAAACCTCATCAGGAGCCCGCCCTAGAGCCTCTGCTAGGAGCCCCACGGGAGCCCCCGCAGGCCCAGGCTGCGGCGCCTCCATCTCTCTACAGCTGTGATGACTGCGGGAGAAGCTTCCGGCTGGAGCGTTTCCTGCGGGCTCACCAGCGGCAGCACACTGGTGAACGGCCTTTCACGTGCACCGAGTGTGGGAAAAACTTCGGCAAGAAGACCCACCTGGTGGCTCACACCCGAGTCCACTCGGGTGAGCGGCCCTTTGCCTGTGAAGAGTGTGGGCGCCGCTTCTCCCAGGGCAGCCACCTGGCAGCCCACCGGCGTGACCATGCCCCTGAGCGGCCCTTTGTCTGCCCAGACTGTGGCAAGGCTTTCCGCCACAAGCCCTACCTGGCAGCCCACCGGCGCATCCATACCGGCGAAAAGCCCTATGTCTGCCCCGAATGCGGCAAAGCCTTCAGCCAGAAGTCCAACCTGGTGTCCCATCGGCGCATCCACACAGGCGAGCGCCCCTATGCGTGCCCCGACTGTGACCGGAGCTTCAGCCAGAAATCCAACCTCATCACCCACCGCAAGAGCCACATCCGAGATGGCGCTTTCTGCTGTGCCATCTGTGGCCAGACCTTCGATGATGAGGAGAAGCTCCTGGCCCATCAGCAGAGGCATGATGTCTGAAGGGGGACGGGCTGTGGAGGTGGGGAAGAGAGGATTCAGATGGCACTCGAGACGTGTGGCCCAGTGGGCTCGGTGCTTGGTTGGTGCTTAGCATAGCAGATGGGATGTGAGCCACTGGAAGGGACAGAGGGGTGAGGAGTGATGTGAGCCCTGTTAGAAGCTAGACCAACTCCCCTTCCCCAAGGAATCTTTTCAGAGTGAGGGTTCCGGCCCTCTAGCTGGTGTTTGCTAAGCTGCCGTCCCGACTGTTGTGTGTCCTGGAAAAGTAGCAATAGCAGCTTGATCCCATAGTGCTCTCAGGCCTGAGGAGCCACCAGTGGAAAGGAGGCTCCTCCATCCTCCATCCTCTGGTGTTAACCGCCTTAATGTTCCTGTGTCTTTACTTCAGATCATTTTGGAAGTAGGTGGGGTATGATTCTTAGCAAATAAACACTTGGGGAGGAAAAGTGGGCCAGCTGGATACACCTTGGAGAACCTGCTGGCCTTGTTAGACAGCACCTGGACTTCGTCCAGCATCTGGAGGTGAAGTTGAGCTGCTCTTACCTGTCCCGTCCCGTCCCCTCTCGGCCCCCTACATAGGCACCTAGACTTAGACTAACTACTGTTAGTGCCAGCTTCATCCCCTTCCCTCCCCCAAGTCCAACCCCCAGGGCATTTCCCTAGGAGTGGCTCTGGTGCTACCAGCTGCCCTTCCCAGCACACAGCTCTGCTGGCTGTCAGCACCCTTGTGTCTGGGCTTTTGTCTGAACATCCCAATTCCTGCTTCACTTCTGCCAGACCCCAGAAATGCGTGGAGAGGACAGACCCACTGAGAGTGGAGTGTCAGCTGCCGGGGAGATAGGAGCTGAGTTTGCTTTTCAGCGTTTCCAGTGTGTGCTGCCCAGCTTCTTATCAAACACTCAGGTTGTAGGGAATTCCCCACCTCCTGAGGCCCTGGTTTTGTTGTAGGATAATTCTAATTGTTAGAAACACTTCCTTATAATGAATGAAATCTGCTTTACTATCATGTCTACCTATTGGGCCTTGTTCTGTTCTCTGGAACTTCACAGAACAACCATTTACCCTCCTTTTCAAACTAGAGAATAAAAATTTGGTTTTAGAACTGGTGACTGATAAGTGTTCCTTCTCCTTGGGGAGCTGTGGAGTTTGAAGAAGAGCAAGCTTGCTTCCAAGGGGCTTGTGGGGGCTGTGGGTGGTGGCTCTGGTGACGTGCCAAGTGCCCAGAACTTGTTTAATTCCTCTGCGCCATCTCACAGGGGGCCAAGCATACCCAGGAAGTGGAGTCGTTCTCTAACGTGGGGCCAAGGCTCTCAAGAACTGTAGTGGGCAGCAAGCTCTGATTTCCAACCAAGATCCTGGCCACCTGCCCTCCCAGTGGCAGAACCAGGGTCACGATCATTTTTCACACCACCACAGCTTTCGTGTAACACCACAAGCACTGAGAGCCCTCTGGAGGAGTGGTGGACTATGGGGTGGGTAGTGTAGAGGACAGACCAGTGCTAGGTAGGCAGGTCTCAACAGCAAAGGCCTTTCTAACCTCCTCTTGGACACACTGGGTGTGTGATCCAGCACATCTAGGCATATGACTTTCTGGGTCACTTTGGCAGGTGCTTGGCAGGTACCTGTTACCAGGAGGCAAAGAGGCTGTGAGGGACTGAGGAAGTCTCTCCTGAGATGCCTCTGTTCCTGGCCTGGCCCCTTTTCTGCTGTTGTGCATGTGCTGCTCTGTGCTGGTTGGTCTCACGCCATTTGAGGGCCTGTTAGGTGTCAGCAGGCCCTTTTCTTGCCTGTCTTGGTGATTTCTGTGTAGGCCCCTGGCAGCTTGCAGAGCCCTGTGCATGATGACGACAGACTGTTCCTGAGGTGGCACCTTGCACAAGTTTACCTTGATGATCTCCTGTAATCTTCACAAAAAAACCTTGGGAGGCTGGTAGTGCTATTCTAAAGATAAAACTTGCCGAAGGTTATGTAACATTATCACTAGAGCCTGATTCAAACCCAGGTCTGTCTGACGCCTGAAATCTGTTCTCTTCACAACCATGCTGATTACTGGAGAAGTAGACTGCTGCTGCTCTTGGTTAAGCATTAAATGCCTACATATGCTTGATGTGTTAGAAACTGGTGACAAAGATAAGACCCAGTCCTTGCTCCTGAGAGGCCTCAGTTCAGGAAGGAAGCACACGTATACACAAATAATGAGAGGGAGTTAGGGAGCTGGTTGTGTGTAGGGTGGATGCAGACAGCTTCAAAACTTGGTATTGGTTTATCAGGTCAACTCCAACTCATAGTGACCCTGCATACAACAGAACCAAACATTGCCCAGTCCTGTGTTACCTTCTGATTGACAGCAGGTTTGAGGCCTATCATTGGCTACTGTGCAAGGGTCTGTCTGGCTCTCATTGGCTCTTTGCTTCACCAGACACAGTGTCCTGTAGCGAGTGATCCCTTCTGAGCATGTGTCCAAAGCACGCAAGTTGGACAGTGCTCTGTTTTATCCATAAGGTTTTCTGTGGGTGATTTTCAGAAGTAGGTTGCCAGGCCTTTTTTTTTTTAAGTCTGTCAGCTCTGCTGAAGTCTGTCCACGGGAGCACTTGCTGGTATTTGAAATACTAATAGCATAGCTTCTGGCCTCCTATCAACATGAAAGCCACCGTAGTACAATACACTTATGGGTGGGCAGTGATCTGGTTATAAACCCACTGCTATCGAGTCAATTCCAACTCACAGTGACCCCCAGTGGGTTCCCAAGGCTGTAAGTCTGTTTACAGAGTACATTGCCCCATCTTCCTTCCATGGAGCAGCTGGTGGGTTTGACCTGCTGACCTGCTGAGCAGCCAAATGCCTGTTGCACTGTGCCGCTGGAGCTGATCTGGCTATATGGCCACTGGAAAACCTGTGTTGTTGGGTGCCATCTAGTCAGTTTCAACTCATCAGTGACCCTGTGTATGAAGCACTGCCAGTACTGTACCACCCTCGGATCTTTTACCAAGTTTGAGCCCATGGTTGCAGCCACTGTCGATCCATCCCATTGATGGTATTCTCCATTTTTGCTGACGCTCTCCTTTACTGAGCATGATATTCTCCAGAGAATGCTCCCACCTGGTAATGTGACCAAAGGATGAGAGACACAGTCTGGCCATTCTTGCTTCTAAGGAACATTCTGGCTGTACTTCTAAGATTTGTTTTGGAAGCACCTCACCTGTGTAGTGATGGCAGATTTAGAACCTGGGGCAAGAGACCACTGTCTCAATAAAACCCCTCTTAAGTATTTTCTCTTTAAAGGAGCACAAGGCTTCCAGAGAATGGGAGCAGTGTTTTCTTGGGACACCAGGAAAGAGTGGGTAGACCTGGGAATGATGGGTGGGAAACAGTGGATAGGTCCTCAGAGGCTTAGGGTTGGTATTGAGTGGTTGGAAAAAGATGACAGAAGAAATGTTGTCAGGGATCCTGACTTTTTGAAAACTTGTTTTTAAAGGAAATAGCCTGGGGTGTGGGCAAGGTGGGCACTGGGTATCATCTAGGACTATGGATTATAACACTGCTTTGTGGGTAGAGATGGTGAGGAGAGACCTGAAGGCCAGAGACACTTACCAAAGTGACTTGAGGGGGCTGGTCAAAGAGGGGCAGTGTAAACCTGTCTCCAGTCCCAGAATCCCTGGCAAGCCTGGTGGTTCCCAAGCCTTTCTTCAGCGTGACACATCCTGACAGCAGTTATGGGGAAATGCCTTTCTGTTCTGAAGAGTCCTAGATATCTTTTTTTTTTTTTTTTTTTTTAAATATGATTACAGAAGTATTGTACAAAAACTAGACAATGCAGACCTAACTTCATTTCTCTTTTAAACGTGAAAGTCCTCCATTTCCTCCACCCCAGCCCCCATGTCCTTTCTCTTTCTCCTAGGGCTACCATGTCAAGCTACTACTCATCTGTCAAATTGTCATACTGTGGTGGCTTGTGTGTTGCTGTGAGACTGGAGGCTATGCCACTGGCATTTCAAATACCAGCAGGGTTGCCCATGGTGGACAGATTTCAGTGGCACTTCCAGACTAAGACTCAGAAGAAGGAAGGGGCCATCCACTTCTCAAATAATTGGCCAGTGAAAAGCTTATGAATAGCAGCAAAACACTGACATATTACTGGAGAACTTTATGAATAGCCCTGAAACATTGTCCAGTATAATGCCAGAAGATGAGCCCCTCAGGTTGGAAAGTACTCAAAATATGACTGGGAAAGAGCCGCCTCCTCAAAGTAGAGTCAACCTTAATGACATGGGTGGAGTAAAGCTCTTGGGACCTCCATTTGCTGATGGGGCACGAATCAAAATGGGAAGAAACAGCTGCAACATCTGTTAATCAGAAGGTGGAATGTACAAAGTATGAAACTAGGAAAATTGGAAGTTACCAAAAATGAAATGGAACACACAAAAGATGGATATCCCAGGCATTAGTGAGCTGAAGAGGACTGGTTTGGGCCATTTTGAATCAGACCGTCATATGGTCTGCTATGCCAAGAATGACAAATTGAAGAGGAATGGTGTGGCATTCATCGTCACAAAGAATGTTTCAAGATCTATCCTGAAGTACAATACTGTCAGTGATAGGATAATATCCATACGCCTACGAGGAAGACCAGTTAATACGATGATTGTTCAGATTTACACACCAACCACCAAACCAAAGACAACAAAATTGAAGATTTTTACCAACCTCTGCAGTCTTAAATTCACCAAACATGCAGTCAAAATGTGTTGATTATTACTGGCGATTGGAATGCAGAAGTTGAAAACAAAGAAGAATCACCGATAGCTGGAAAATATGGCCTTGGTGAGAGAAATGACTGGAGGTCACATGATAGAATTTTGTAAGACTAATGAGTTATTCATTGCAAATACCTTTCCAACAACATAAATGATGCTATACACGTGGACCTCACCAGATGGATTATGCAGGAATCGGATCGACTACATCTGTGAAAAGAGGTGATGGAGAAGTTCAGTATCTTC